CGCGATATACAAAACAGTCGCTGACATATTGCGATTAAACGGCGACTTTTCAGAAAAGCGCGATAATCGCCGATTTTTAAACAACATTGAAGATATGGGGAGAGTATCCCCGATTAAATCTGTCTATATATTGGGGATCGTACAGTCTTCTACTTTTTCTCGTAATTAGTTTTTATAGTGTCGGTTAATAGTTGACTTCAAAACTATGTGAATATTCTATATCAAAAGAACATTAATTTTTATGTTTTTCTCAACTAAGTTGTGGTGTATCAAATGAAAGCATTGGACTTTATTTTCTCAATACCACATTCGAGAGAAATTCGAGTTGACAACAAGAAACAATGTTCGATTTTTGTTTTAAATATCAACTATTATCCGTTAAAAACATACTTGATTATGCTAACTTCTATTAATATGTTATAAAAAGAAACAATCAATAAAAAAATAAAATCACAAGCAACTATTAGCTTATCAAGTTTTATTATTCTTACTTTGAATTTTTATTAATTCGTTTTCTAGTTAAACGTGTTTGTGGAGTTTGTATCGAGGATGAAAAATTGTCTATTATTGTTGCTGTTATTCGATGTTTTAATCGTGAAGATAGTCTTCGTTGATTATTTATTAAATCATTTTCTAATGGATTTGCTTTAGTTATATTATTTAATATTGATTCAATATTTACTGGAGGAATTGGTGATAGTTCGATTTTATTTTCTTCAATTAGAGCGGGTTCAACTTTAATCGTAATAGTAGAATCCTCATCTCTTGTTGATACACGAACATTTGATGTTAAGTCGTCTGTGTTCACGTTATTGACTACAAATGGTTCAATTGAAAAAAGTTCAGCTTGTTCTTGAAAATCTGAAAAAAAACTCGAACAAGTTGGATGAAATTTCATTAGTGAAAATATCCCGTATACTTACTACGTGTCTTTGTCGATAAGTTACGTTTTCGTAGATATACTGGACTCGTCTCTGAAAAGTAAAAATGGCAGTTCTGTAATAGTGTATAGCTTTTTTATCTAAGGAAACTCTTTTGGCTAGTTTTCTTTAAAAAGTCTAAAACCTTTTTTCCATATGGGGGAAAATGAAACTGAGAAATTGTCTGAAAAATACTATCGTAGCGTGTTCTATCTTACGTATTTCAAACCTTGCTCTCTAAACTGATTTGAATAACTTTCAATTCATCAAATATTGGTTTGAAATGCAAGTAAAAAATATTCAAAAAATCTTTTGCTAAAGGGTGGACACAATAGAGGACCCGGGTCTTATATCGCAATCTAGCGCTCATAACTATGAGGAGGGTCTTCTAAAGTGTCCCTAAAAAAAGTCGATTTTGAGTTGAAATCACTTGATCGAAAGTTCATTCTGTGTACAGGATTATTGATTCAGCCGATGATCGCTGTTTATTTTTATTTTTTATCATTCTAGCAGCTGGGTATTCACTCTAACAGCTAAGCAAAAAGATGAGCGCAAAACTTATGTTTGACTGAACCCCAAAATCATCATATTTTACGTAAAAAATCGATAAAAAAAGAGGGTCTTCTAACGCGGTTTTTGTGTTATGAGTTTAAGAGGTGTCTTGTAACAAACTTTAGAAAAAGCTAGTGGAACTTACGAGGAGATTTTACTGTTGTTTCATTCGTTTCCTGAACATAAATAAAAGCCTTTGCATCATATTCTATGATATTTTCTAATTCAAATTTTTTTGTTAGTTCTTTTTCTTTTTGTCGAAAATACTGAGTAAGAGCTGATGTTCTAATACCAACAAGATGAGAAATGTCTGACACAGATAAACCTAATTGAATATAAGTGGCAGCTAATTTTAATCTTGTAGATATTTGACAACCTAAAATAAATGGAAGATGAACAATTATTATTATAATATAATACTATTATAATAGATGTGAGAAGATACAATGGTCACAATACAAATAGGCAACTCACCATCATCTGTTTCATCAAGATTACTTAACAAATTTCGTTTAATACCCAATAAAACATCAGCCGGATATTTATATTTTTGATTGATATAGGCAATGGTTTTGCCTTTAAGAAAAAATCCAACTAATTTTGATAATACAGCTGGTTTTATAGGCATTCTTGCACCATAATGTCGTGTTAATCCATCATAAATAGCTAAATAAACAATAAAAAAGTTTTATTCATGAAAAAAAAAAAATATATTTCTCACCTTCCATTGTTGTTTGATCTAGTTTCGATTGAATAAATGTTGCAGCATCTTGTTGAACACCAGTTCTTTCACAAATTATATTTACATCATAACCAATTTTAAACATTTGAACAACACCCAAAAAACGTTCAATTGTTAATTTATATTCTTGTAGTTTAATTAACATTTGGTCGGCTACAAGTTGATTATTCTCAGCTAGAAAGAAAAAGTCGAAAAGAGAATAATGACTATATGAATTGAATCTTTTTATGTTTACTTACGTTGTTGTTGTTCATGTTTTATTGTTGATTTAGTAGATGTTAATTTTATTTGTTTTGTATTAATCAATATTCTTAATGATTCTTTGATATTTATCAGATCGCTGATGTTTCCATTATTTACTTGTATCAATGATGATTGAATAGCTCGTTCAATTTCGCCACTCGATGATTTTAAATTTTTATCATTTAATGCACATCCAATATCGTATGTTAGAGTACTAATAACATTCCCATTTTTGATCGCTTTTAATAAAATATCATTTGGAATTATGACTTCCGTTTCTTGAAATTCATCCTAGAAATGAAAAAAATTTAATAAAAATAATATTTAAATAATAATATTTAAATAACTTACTTCAACTTTCATCTCAGTAGTTGTTCGATTGCCAGAATGGAATGTACTGCCTAAGTCAAAAGATTTTTGTTACTTTCAAACAAAAAAAAATGTTTCAAAATGTCTTTCTTCCTACTTGATTGTGTGTGATAATTACTGCTCTTTGTTGATGTACTAGTTTTTCGAATTTTTGAACTATCAGTTGAATGTGCTCTCTTTGGTCTTGGTGATTCTTTTATATTATATTGTGTGACATTTTGAATTGTATTTGTCGCACGATATTGATTTGATTCTTCAATTAACCATTGTATATCACCTCGATCAAGATTTTTATTAAACAATTTTTTATACTTTAATGGAAAAAATGTTTGATCATAGGCAACGAGATATTTCATTGTATTAATATCGTATTTTTTTAATTTAATATAAGAAAATAAGTCCAAAACAAGTGTACAATTATTAAATTCATAAAATGTGTTGGAATAAAATGATAATAAATTAAACATACATATTTCATTAGATGTTGCATATCGACATACACCATCATCAGTATATTTTCGTAAACAAGTACGATCAACACGATAGTCGATTGGAACCAACATTCCTTTCAGTAAAAAGAGAAAACAAATGTGTTGTGATTAATAAAAGTTAGGATTTATCTTCTATACCTACCTATATGTAACATAATAAAATCTTCTTCAATTTGAATATAACCGGCAGATTGCTGATTAATTATTTCAAAATTTTTTTCGGCTTTTGTCGAATCAGTGTCTAACCATTTGATAAATAAACGTTTATCATCCATATATATTGACATACTCTGATAAAGATCGCTTAATTTAATTAATTCAATATTTGTCATAAATGATGTGATTATATCACTGCCAATTGACGTTTTTGATATAAATTCATTTAGATCATTTAGTTCATCATCAGAAATCTTTATGAGTGAATGTTGGACATGTGCTGTAGATTTTGTATTCAAAAAATATTTAACAACTGACCATAATAATTTTAAATCATTTGGATGACATGATGGTGAACCAATACATGGAGTTGTTAAATGATTTATTTGTAATAAACCAACAATAGTTTTTCTTGGTGTTGTTGTTGTTATTGAATCTAGTAGGATAATATCAGGAGATGATATTTCTTCCATGTCGATGGCAATATCTAAGATCAACTTTTTTTAGGAAACAAAACAAATTGTCTTCGATCTAATGTAATGAAAAAGACATCTAATTCACTCTAAAATGAAAATAATGTAGGTATTAGAGGTGAATATACATGAATATTATCGATTTCTATGACTTTGATCATCAGATCAACAAAGACTTTTCTGCTTTTAGATATAAAATATACAATCGTAACTTATTTTAGACGAAGTGAATATTTAAACTTATGCTATCTCAATATAGTCTTTGTAATACGTTGTAATGTCCGCAATTCGAGGTGAGAAAGAGAGATGGAAAAAGGAGTACACTAAGAATAGACTATTATATATGTATATAGAAACGAAAGAAGATGAACAATATAAATGGAAAAGCAAGACGGACGATGCAACACCTTGTGCCGCATATGTGCGCAAACAAATGCTTTGTATATATATAAAACAAAAACACATTCTTTCCTTCTTTTAACGGATTGATCTATGATTCGCAGCTGATTATTAAGTCTTTGAGAGAGAATAGTTTCAACATGCTCTTTCGACGACAACGTCTCCTTATTGAAACAAAGCATACGACGGTTACGGTTTTTTGTTCATTCTTTCGATATAGGCATTATATAGCGAAATCGCACTTATTCGTTCTGTTTCCTAAATGATTGAGTGACTCATGTCTATTATATGTTTCAGTTTTCATATCCTTATGTCGATGTCAGGTGAGTTGTTTTTTCTTTTTGTGCATAAATGTCAAATATTTCAGAAATGTTCACTAGATATGACTTTTATATAAATACACATCACTTTGTTCTAGTCTATCCTCTCTTGTTTTCACATTCCTCTCTTGATCTTCAATTCCTCCACAATCTTCGGAGCTTTATAAGTTTTTGTTATGAAACATTGTTCTTTGACATCTACGATCTATTTGATGACTACAAAAGGGAGAAAATTACTGTGTTGGCTGCGCTATCTTTTCTTGACAATTTTGAACTAGAAATCGTACTTGGGTTGTCTTTATAAATGCAAAATATCAGTAACAATAAATATAGTATATATTGTAGAGAATGTCCAGATTTCCTGTTCAACTCATAGTTAGTTAATAAAAACCAGAGTAATTATTTTTTACAGAACAATGTTTTAAAAGAGAAACTTAAAAAGCTTCAAAGAAAAACAACAGAGGATAGACTACGACAAACTGGTGTGTATGTGTGTACTTCTGAGACATCTGACATAACATCTGGCACAAAACGAAAAAGTAAAGCTGCTGTGAAACAACCTGACATCGGCATAAAGGTACATATGAAAAGTGGAACTTAATAAACATACTAAGAGCTGAACAAATGAGCATTTACCTCTTTTCATGTCATATATGTCTTGTACTCATAGTGCTGACATCTGACATGAACAGAACAAAGCAGAGATAATCCGATCAGTAGAAAGAACGACAGAAGAAGACATTTGTGACAAATGAATTGTCACATATGACAGCGAACAATCGATGCAATCTCACGAAACATCGAAAACGGTGCGATTAATTGTCTGTTATATACTCATTAATAACCTATCTAATGCTTGTTAAGCGGATAATTATAAAATCATTGCAACAAGGTTTTAACCATTTTCACCCATTTAAACCGAGAACCTATTAATGCCTAGAAGCAGTCGTCTTTTACGCTCTAAAAAACAGTTATTCCACTATTATGAGCCATTAATGATCTATTTTTCGAAAGTTTTCCAAAGTTCGTTTCTTTCTGATTGATAACCTCTCGAAGATCCAGAATTCACAAATTTCAATATTTTTGGTTCTTCAGATCACGGTACCATCATTCGTACGAGTCGCAATACTAAAGACTATCTCGTCGAGACAAGTTTCGATGACTTGTAAGTTATAATCAACGAAGAGTAGTTTTTTCAAAAGCATCAACATCATATTTGTTTTGGTCATAATAACAAAACACGAGGATAAGTCATTCGTTGACAAATGGTTAAAAGCTAACCTTTAACTGCTAACGTTAAATGTTCCTTTTTTTCCTGATTCAGATACTGTTCCAACGATTTGTAAACAGACAGTTAACTACCTAAGCGAATTTTAATTTCATGTATATACAACTAAATGGGTGCTTTCAGGGCTTGATGCACAGTAAGATAGCGAGCAAAAAACGATGCTTGTTAGCAGTCAGTTTTTGAGTGTTCTTTTGTGAAAAGCCTATTTTTCGATCATAGGCAAGCTCAGGCATGCATGAGCTGTCAAATGCGAGTTTTCACTGAGCTCGGTACAAGATAAAATGCAGAGTTCAAAAGAAAAAACTAATGATGTTGTTTCATATTCAGTTAAGAGCAGGGTGAAACTCGTGGCTTCGCCCACTGTAGAATATTAAGATATGGGATCATAGTTAACTGAAAAAACCTATCGTAGTCAGTCTGGACTAGAGCCCATCGGGTCTGGGTCTGGGTCCAAAAATCATGGACCCGATGGGCTCTAAATATGTTACTTGTCAAACATAAAAAAATAAAAAAAAAAGGATATCCTATCTTTGGATCGATTATCAAATTCGAACTAGAATTTTGCATTATAGATCTCAAATGAGTGATTCGTGCCCGAATCACAAAGAATTAATTATTGCGTTTGGATCCGAGAATTTTCTTTGAGCGGGTCCGGATACAAAAAGATTTAACCAACCGGGTCCGGGTTTGAATAAATTTTTATCATCGAGTCCGGATCCGGGTCCAAAAATCATGGACCCGATGGGCTCTAGTCTGGACTCAAAGTTTAACACAATTTTATAGAGTAAAAGCACGCACAACTGATACTTAATCGATAAAGATCGAGATGATCTGTCGGATGGATGATCAATGATCGGTTCGTTAATTTCTTTGTTGGACGATCGTTTGATTTAGAGATGTGTACGGGTACCGTTTTGTGACCCGTATCCGATCCGAACTTTTTTTCACCCGTACCCGACTTATGCCTAAAAATTATCTCTTTGGTTTTCAGGTAAAAACTTGTTTTTAGGCTGGAGGTGTCAAGCTATCGTTACGGTCTCCAGTAACTCTTTTAAAACTTAACATATTTTAGCTAAAATCTTGCATTTTTTTCACTAACATTTTATGGTTTTCCACTAAAACCTTTTCGATTTCGGGTAAATTTAAAAAGAACGGAGTCGGTATCTGGAACTGCTCTACCCATATCTGAGAACTTCATACTCTTACCCACCCTTCGGGTCGCATCCGGTACGGGTCGGCACATCTCTAGTTTAATTGTTATGTTGTACTAAAATCTCCATGGATCCATCATTTATTCACCAACTTTATCGTTTACTTGAAAATATGATATAAGAGCGACTAATCGCGATTATTTTAAATCTCCATGTGCAGTGACGGACCATTTAGTCGGCTATCAAAACCATTAGCGAAAAAAACCACATGGGTAGGAGGTTGCCTATTTTTTGTGCGCGCCTATATATTCAGAAATAAGCTTATTTATTTAAGGAAACTTAAATCGATCCTTCCGACCGCCGAGACTTCGAGTCTTGTCAGAACCGATGAAGTAAATTTGACGAAGGAATGTTAGCTTAAAAAATAAAATGTTATACGAGAGAAATTCTGTTAGTTGTTCCTTGATGATTAGCGTAGTAGAAATATTACAATAAATACGGACAATGAGATAATCAAACACGGGATTAATATTCAGCAGCTCAAAGCCGTCACATAACTTTGAAATTACGGAAATAAATCAGAAAAAGAACCATTAATCCTCAGCGAAAATCCAATAAAATAGACAACCAATCTCGACAAAATCTGTCATTTCGTCTCGCTAACAATGTCGTGACCTTCTTGAATTAATGTTGGTGTTTCATCATCATCAATATTACTATACCATTTTGATAAATTTTCCAGAAGAGCGAAAAGGAGTAAAATTCTATGATAAAACTGAAAAAACCGAGAGTTAAATAGTTTTACACAAGGGGGTAAAAGCGCTATTTCACTTCACTTCACTGAGGTCCAAACACTTCAGAATCACTTCACGTTCACTTCAAGTGAAGTGGAAGTGGTGAAGTCGTATTTTTCTTCCATCAGAGGCGCCGTTTCAGCAGTGAAGTGAAGTGAAGCGGTACTTTTTCCCCTTTGGTTTTACATGAACTTTATGAAAAATGTCATCTCCCTTTTTGTTCCTATCAAGTGAAATATAAAAAAAAATCTGTAACAACTACACGTTGAAATAGTAACAATCATGTCTAATCGTTCCTTTCTGGATGTTGATCAAACTCATTTCTCTTGCTCAGAATTCTATTAGTCAGCAAGAAGTTTTCATTCGCTTCTGTTTTTTTTTTGGCAATATCTAATGGTAAACATTTTCCCGCCAAAATTAATTGATTTTGAATTTAACATTGCTAACAACTCTTAAAAATCAGACAAAACTTTTAATCCAGTTTATTTTTGTTAATCTGTGCAACGTTGTAACCACGAATTCATTTCTCAAAAATTTTCAGTTATTTACAAAAATTTATTAAATTGAAACAGACAATTATCATTCCATCGTCTTACATTTTAATCGCCATCTTTATTTCGATCGATAACCAGCTAACACATTTTATTTCGATATCGAACACTTTTTGAAGGCAGAATTCAACTGATAGTGTTCTAAACTCCTCACAATTGAACAAATGCCTACTTTCAGTAAATAGCCTGTGATACACATATCTTTAAATTATTTACTTCGTAAAAGTCACTAATTCCTTATGTTACAGGCAAAACTGACATTGTTAATTTGCCTGGATAAAATTAGAATATGTTTGCATAGGTCGATTCCTAAGTTTAACTAGACAAATTTGTCATTCGACGAGACAAACTTAAAATATTCCAATAAAACATGAATTTGCTACAGGCATTTCTCGAATTCAGGCAGATTCAAATCTGAATAAACAAACTTTTAATAAAACATATGTTTCTCAACAAATCAGATATTACATAGTCATATTGAGATTGGAAATCAATACGCATATTAGTAACATCCGTATGACACTAGGAGCCGTGAAAGTGAACAACAAAAGCAAAATACAACGGAAATATCAATCAGTTGACGATAGAAACCCATTTCATATAAACTCACATCGAAAAGCTGAAGTTTTGATTCACTCTCACAATTGTAGTGTGTTGTTCACACGACTAAATAATTTATGAAGTCCAAAAAAGTTGTTATAAAAAACAATTTTTACAATAAAACTCATGTTTTATCAGTAGTTCACCTAGCCTAATTTAGAATTTACCTGCGTTCGATAAATATCTGTACATGATACAATGCAGTTTCAAATGTTTGTTCTTGAATGCCTTTAAGAAATAATTCGCCAAATTTCAAATTTTCATCATTTTGACGATATGGTCCCATTTTTACTGTTCATTTAATTGGAGAAAAACAGATAGAACTTCTTCATCTGTATATGATTTTTCAAATTTTGAAACATTTTTTATCTTTCTCTCGTAATTAGTCAAAATCACCTATAGCAGTTAATTTTTATTGTCGTTAATGACTTTGTCAGAAATTATCAAAACAAATTTAGTCGTTTAAATAGAATTAGAAAACTTGTTTATTTCGAAATATTTGTCTGTTGTTTCTATACTGGGATTATTTCTTCATAGAGAAGAAAACACTGAATGAGAAAAATTAGTGCATAGCACTTGACTAGTACGAAAAAAGAGTAAGAGCGATAAAAAGAGAAACAATATTAACAATAACTACAAAAACAGAGATAAGAAGAAAAAAAAATTGTGTCATATTCCTAAGATATAAAAAAAAATATAATTTTGACATTGTATAAATACAAAGTCGAAAGAGAAACAGAGCAGAGATAGAAAATGATCTATTTTTTACGTTCACGTTTCGTTGGAACTTTTGTTGATGATTGTTTCATAGCCTTTCTTCTTTTTATCATTGCATCTTCTTCAACTCTATTTGCTTCGGAAATATCATCATTATTCTCTTCAATTTCACCATTTTCCAATTTTTCAACATCTACAATAACATCGTAACATAAAGAAAAAGATTAGCTATGATCTACTAATCAAAGTACAACAAAAATGAAGTAGGAGTAGTGGACAGAACATCAGGCATATCAACATGAAGAAAAAAATAAAGTGTATGCAGAGTTGCAGAAAAGTGTTTTTTCATATTTAGTACACTCGATACTAAATAGAAGAATTTCTATTTTTGACGAGGAATATTGTCAAAAGTTGAGGAAAATTTTTTCGAACAAACTAGCAAAGAAAAATTTCCATATAAAAATAATATTCGTTTCAATTTTTTTCCTAAACTTTTGACAAATATCTCTCGCAAAAACAGAGAAAATCTTCAGAATTATCGAGCGTACTAAATACGAAAAAGGATTTTTCTGTGGCTTTACATGAACTGTACTTTTCTGTCGGTGATATGCATTGAACTGTCTGCAGATAATTCTCTACATACCAATTTCATCTTCATTTTCTGGCTGTCTAATTTTTTTTAATTTATTAAGATTAATTATTTGATAAGGTGTTTTATGTGTATGTTTATTAAATGTTCGTGTTAATCGTGTTTTAATTTTAGAATCAATTTTTTCATATAAATTTTTATCACCAGTTTTTTTACCATCATTCCATGATGTCATTTCCATTATCGTTTGTAAATCTTCATGTGTCAAATAATATTTATCCATAAATTCAATACATTTTTCAATACCATCGTTACCCTCTCGTTGTAATGGTGTAATGAGTGCGCGTGAGAGATAATACATATAGTCAAGATTGAAATCTATTTTATTTGCTGTTGATATTTGTAATGATGCATGCTTTTCTAATTCAGTTAATAGACGAATACATTTATTTGTCTTAGAGCATTGACCCAACCATTTTGGAAATTCAATACGACTTGTTGTACCACGCATTAATGAACATGGTGTAACAGCTGAAAAAATGCCCTAAGAAAACAAACAAACATGAGATACAATAGAAGTAATTGTAATAAAAATATCTGATGAAGAGAGAGAGATATTGTTACCATATATGATAATAATGACCAATCATTTGATGAATAAATAATTTTACTAGCTAAATCTCCTAGACAAATACTATCAGCTGCTTTCGATATTAGATTCAATCGTTGTATTGTTGTCATTTTAATATCTCTTGATGTTGTTGTAGGTACTACACGAAGATAGTTTTCTTGAATAAACAATGGTGTTAAACGATAATCTTCAAAAAATAGATCCGATTTTTCAATAAGTGACAAATTTCGTGATTCACTAGAAAATGATTTTCGACATAATTCAAAGATATTATTATTTACACTTTTGTTGATCTGATTATAAGATGATGACTAAAAGTATAAATAATATTAACACCGTTAGATAATAATCAACTGTGCTAGTGTAAAGAGATAAAATTTCTATCCAGTTACTGTCTATAACTTTCTTCTTCTAATTTACCTGATATTTTAATGGGGTTTGTGATGTATACCATAGATTACAACTATGAATAATTTGTCGAATATCTTGATTACACGATAATATAATTTGATCAAGTATTTCATTTTTAATTTCAACTTGTTCTTTGAATAATATTGATTTTATAGAACTTTTAATTTGTTCCGATTTTGGTTTAAAAAATCTTAAATCATAACAATAATTTGCCAATGAACGAATTTTTTGTGCTTGACGATCATTACAAATGCAAATAATAGGAATATGTGAACGTTTTATCAATTGTATCAATTCTTGAATACCTAAAACGTATTGATAAAAAAATAATCATTCAATGAAAAACAAGATGATTAGACAACTGTTCTGACCAGGAATAACCAACATCTCTCAAATATATCAATAAAAATGGTTGATATAAACAAACACTATTCTTTAGATTCAATTCTCCATTTGTTTCTATTAATACTTACCACCTCGATCTTCATTTCCTGATGATCCATCAACTTCATCCATTATCAAAACGTGTTTTTCTACAACAATTTGTGTTGTTGATAAGTGTGTATTACTAATACTGTCGGAGACATATTGCTGAAGTGTCTTTTTCGAACGTTGATCGGATGCATTACGTTCAATGTAGGGCAATTTTAATTCTTTACAAACTAACTGAGCAGTGGTTGTTTTACCTAAAATAAGAAACAGTTTACTATTACTGTATCTATAATGATTAACTAACGACTTATAGGAAAACAATTACATCTTATTTTAACATATATGATCGATGAAATCTTTTTTATTTTGTATCGACTTCACTTTCATCCCGATGACAAGAAGATTAACTTAGTTATACTTATTTGGACATGTAGAATACGAATTAGGCACCTGTTGCAGCTCATGCAGGGATCTTGAGTTTAAGAAGACGAAATCTGGAAAACTAAAGACATTTAAAAATGAAGTTTTTTAGGTTTTATTTATTTGAAAAATGAAACTGACATTGCGTAGGGCATATCAAACTATCATTTCAGAGCATGTTCATGAACTTTTCCGGACATATAATGTGTTTTGATAGAGTGATAATAGTGTTCGTTAAGATAAATACTGATTATAAAATCTTTTTTTTACTTGAAATTTTTTTCTATGGGATAATCCTATATTATTTTACTTTTGAATTTACTTCAATACTCCTATGAATGAACGGTAGAGGGTGAGGGTGTTCATATTTTCTAGTATGACAACATTGTGATGTGTATATAAAAATGATTATTTTTTACATTTTTTATGTTTCGAAAATAAAAATTTAGTTGTCTGCACACTTTTATTTGTACTTGAAAGAAATAGTTTTTCATGCGATCCCATGGAACAAAATCGGATGAAAGAAAAATAATTGTAGACGAAAATTTCATCCCATCACACGCGAAGATCTGCTTCATACTCATTTGATAAGCTTCAAAATAGCAGGATATAGATCATTTGACACATTTCATAAAAAAAGAAAATGGTTATCTCAAAAACCTTGTATTATTAAATCCAGAAATCTATTCAAGATCTTCGCATATATTGCAATATATCGTCATCATATTCATACTCATCATGTCCGAGTTGATATAACTAAGTTTAATGTAAGAATCGTTGATTATCTGAGCTTTCCGCATAAATAAAATTACAATAATTTTATTTAGTTCGAACTTAGATTGTAAACATATAATACATCAATTGGATATATCTTTCACTTATTAATCAAAGAGGCTCTTTTGTGTACACATTTTCCGCAATACATACCGATTCCTGGTGGGCCACTTAACAACGCCGCTTTGAACAACGTTGGATCATCGTTTCTATTCCATGTTGATACTTTTTTCTTGTCTTGCTGTGCTACATTTTTCCCATGATATTTGTGCCAATTTCTCAGCCAACTCATTAATTTTTGCACACATGATTTTTCACCTTGTTGACCGACAATTTGGTTTAATTGTGTTGGACGATATTTATCAACCCATAGTAAATCATTTTTCTCAGATGATGTTGACTGTTTTTTACTAGCACTACTACTTGTTGTTGTTTCTGAATAGAAACTAGGTTTTATGTCAGATGAAGACGAGATGGCGCGTGATGATGATTGTATGGATGATGCTCTTGACGCCGTCGAAGCTGCTTTGATTGGTTTTACACCTTTTCCTGGTCGAATTCGAATCATTTCAAGTAAATCATCCTCATCTATGATTTTAATATTATATTCTTCAGCCTAAATGAATATAAAAATAAGCTTTTTAAAAATTAGAACGTGAAAACTATAGGTAACCACTTTAACGCATAGATATCTTCCAATCATCAACAGCATTCGTCTACATCTGAATGTAACAAAAATCTATTTACTTTTTTTGTTTTAGCTTCACCACCTTGTTTACCAAGAATTAAATAATTTGTCTTTGTTTTTGTAATCGCTTCTTTAACGTCGCCACCATATTTTTTAATTAAATCTTTACATTCATCACGTTCCAGCGAATCCAAAACACCACTAATAACAAATACTAAACCTTCTAAACATCCTTCAGCACCTTCTGGTATGTCCTTAAAAAATAGTAGAATGAACTAAGTATTATATCTCTCTGAGTCTCAAAAATGAGCGGTTTGAATACTTACCGTTCTCTTAATATACCATGACATATACTTGCGTTTTTCTTCAGTAAAGAGCTATAATACTACGTCTGAACCTCTTCTGCCTCTTTACTATCAGTTTCGAGAGGATAGATATATTCTAATCTTTATCAGTTACCTTTTCACCATAATGCTTTGGTCCACCTCGATTTAAATACGTTTTATATTGTTCAACACGCCGTTTTTGTTCTTCAGGTGGAGGTGTTGCGCGTTTTTTTGTTATTCTTACAGGTGATATTGATGTTTTCCGTTTGACAGAAGAGGATTTCGATGCTTTGACGGGTAGTAGTTCTGATGTTGTAGATGAAACAATCTGAGTCATTTTGGACGTTGCTATTTCGTTATGAGGTAGACTCTTTCGTTTATTTTCATTCTAGAAATATTACCACTGAGAAAATTCATTTTTTCTAAATCAGGAACGAAAAAATCTGAATTTTGACTGTAATTCTTCATCAAAACTCAACTTTTATGCAATAAAAATATTATTCGACTCAGTTTTTGCCGCTGATTCTGAATGTGATATTTTTATTGCATAAAGCTGAGTTCTGATGGAGAATTACGGTCAAAATTTAGAGTGGAAGTCCAAGACGTCTATACTAGCTAGACTTTTGACTTCAACCTCGATCAAGCATCATTCTCATACTCAATTTTTAATACTGAATCTGAAAAAAATACTTTCGAAAAGTTAGAAGAACGAAAAGGAAACCATTTCAATTTTCTGAAACTGGAGGGTTTTAAAAATTTTAGATTCTTCGAATTTTTTCAATATTCCTTCCTTAAAAAAAAATAAAAACCACTTTTTTCTTACTCAGTTCAATGCGCTCTATCCAACTATGTATAAAAAAACGGGAAAAAATATCTTGTTCGAACTTTGAATTTTCGATACTTTAATGAATTTGCCTTTGGCTACTAAAATCTTAGCAAATCATAAGTTTACGAAGAAGTAACGAAACAATCATATATTTTCCGCACTCTAAGTTCGGACTAAACCTTTTTAATATTTGACATTTGTTGCTCACTTTAATATCTTCATCATTATCATCACATTCTGAAACTTTTCGTGCTTTAATCGAACGTGGAGTTGATTTTATTGATGATATTTGAGTTTTTTTCTTTTTTGACGCACTCACTACAAAATCATCATCATCATCATTATCAGATGAGTGAGTTGAATTAATTGGCTTCTGTTATTGAAAGAAAACAAACAAATATGAAATTAACGGGTCTAACGAGGTGAATGTACATACGGAGAAGTGCTTTTCTGTATCTGTCTTTTTCTTATCTAAAAATCAAATCATACAGATCCTGACGAAAAAAATTTTCAAAATAAAAATGCAAATGTACTGTACCGATTTTTGCTTTTTTCTTTGGTGCCATTGGTTCTGTTGAAGAACTTCCTAAAAAAAAGTATTGATATATTTTATCCTATCTTCAAGAACGTTCAGCTGGCAACAATTTGATAGAAAAAGGTTACACACCCTCGAATACATTAGTTAAAAAATGATGTGATTTTGTTTGGAGGTCGACTTTATTTGAACCTGATAAATTTGTTGTATGAGCTATTTTAGTTACGAAAAAGTCCACGCTTATGAACTTGAGCTGATCCTAAGACTGACTGTTTTTGTTTTGTTTTTATTCACAAAAAGTGAGAGTCATCAAGGGGCACTGATCTGTAATAAATAACTCAAGCCAAACAACACAAAAAGAGTAATAAAAACGAACAAAATAAATAAGACAACTAACGTTAGAACCAGAACCAGCAGTAAAAAAAGAACAAATTTTTTGAAAAAGTAAAAAAAAGAAGCAAAAAAGAACAAATATAAACTCTTAGACAAATGTTTCACTGGAAGAGGTACTAACATAAAGCTGTTTTGAAAGACGTTAAAGAAGAAAGACAAATAACTGACTCTGGGAGATTATTCCAGTCAGCAATAGTTGAATAAAAAAAAGAAGGATGCACCGTTTGCGGAGAATAACCATCAACAGAAGATGGAATGCGAACGTATTTAGAATGATGAAGACGTAAAGATGAGTAGTGAGGACGATGAATAGTATAAAAAAGAGAAAGAGGACTTAGACGATGATAAATTTTGAAAAACTGTAGAAGTCTAAAGTATTTACGACGAAGAGTGAGATTTCGAAGAGAAAGTTGAGATACAAGTAGAGAACTAGAAGAACAATAGTCAAAATTGTGAGAAATAACACGGGAAGCAAGTTTGTTTACAGAATTAAGAACAGTAAGAGAAAACGAACTGTCATACAAGGCACAACAATAGTTAACTTTAGGAAGAATAGAAGAAAGATAGATTCGACGCCGAACTTCAGTTAGAGCTAATCCAAAGACACGATTCAATGCTCCAAGCTTGCGCCGATAAGCAAGAGCAATGTCCTTGGCATGATCATTCCACCTAAGATCGTGCGAAACAAGAACACCAAGACAACGAACAGAAGACACAACGGAGCTGTCTCTTCTTTTAAGCGTACTTTATATAAGGCTTAACGTTTTACTCACCACCAGAACGTTTTGACAGACGAGTTGTTCTATTAGAAGCACTTGATTCAGCAACAGTCGTATTTGTTGTACCCAGCTGCAGAAAACGAGATATTCTAGCATTAAACATGTCTTCGAAGACACAATATATTGACGAATAGTACCTTCGAGGTTGTTTGTTCAGCTTTGTTGAAAAAGTTTCGAATGTCCATTTCTAGACGACAAATATAATCAAAACAATAAATTAGTTAAGAGTAATGACCAACTTACCTAAAACTGTACCAATAAAAAAATAAAGAATGCATTGATAAAACATGGAGTAAATCATGAATTCTAATTAGTTTCCTTAATTATTTGTATCATGATTGAGTTGTTCAATGCAAATCACGTAAAAGCCAATACGAACCGTGATAGATGTCACGTTCTAGCCTTTATGTCGTAGATAGTGTTTGTTCTTCCAGAACTCTTAGAGATAGAGCATTCTCTAATAATTTACGGCTACATCTAGGAGACAATATATAAATTGACTACCGATTTATACAGCGGTGTTTGTTAAGGAAATGTTCATAAGTAATAGCATAGATCGACTGATTATTATATTTTTTATCTATGTTCACTTTTGCAATACAAAATGGTTCAAAAATTGATAGGAATATTACTCATTTTTGGAAAGTTTGTAAACTTTTCATCGTTTTCTTAATGAATGTGCTTGATGCAAGTACTTGACAAGTAAATTTACTTGGAAAAGTCCACAAGTATTATCCTCATTACTTAATACAAGTATTTGTGTAATACTTGACTCAAGTACATTCCACACAGTCTCTGTACTTGTCTTTTTTATGTTGTCCTTGTCACTTGTTTTTATATGTATTTCTTGTCCTGTCCTTTGTCCGCAGTCAATGATGTAAAGATACAATGGGTTCACCTCCTTCTCCTCATTATTGTGCTGATCGTTTCTAACTTTTTTCTTTTTTCTTTTCAATAAAGCTTATAAGAAGTACATTCACTAGGACTATTTTCACAGACCAAATAAACTTAATAGGAGTATATAAAGCACCCTTCATAATACATACTGATAATTACAGCAGGTCCGAACAAAAAGAAAACACGAAGTATAAAATATATCAACCTAATCGAGAAATGTTAAAGCATGTTCACTTGAAATTGCCTGCAGATTCAGACTCTCCATAGCCAATTATCCTGTACGAAACAAATTGGGTGAACAATACCCTTTAAAAGATGTTTTCTGTTCGTTTTACACAATAATTTTTAAAAGTCCTACAAAAGAGATTTTAAGACTACTGCATCGCCGGGCGGGCTGGACCGTCCATTCCGTGCATAATCCTGATGAGTATCAATGCGATTGCCGATATGTGATAGCATTGGTGCAATTTTTGTCAGTGATTTTACCAGTCACTTTTTGGTTTCGCAATCGGTTATACTATGTAAGATACTAGTGAGAGAAGTGATTAATACACCATGGTTTAAAACCGATGCCTACCATGGTCATGCCGCACTGATAACGAATAGGTACGGCATTGATTGGCATCGACATGGTCTGTATGCGCATCCCTAGTAAGAACCTAGACACTTCTTAAAATTATCTTCGTTAATGTACTTGGAACAGACATGCCACTACTGTAACAGTCGTTTTGTCAGTGCCAATTAGATTTATTAGAGTTATCTTACCGATTATACTAAACCAATATTTGTATTAGGCATTAGCTTTTTCTTTTCTATTGTGTCCAATACTTACGCATATTTTAACTTAGATATATATATTTTAGATTTTTGGAACATTTGTCTAGGCCCAATCCAGCTCTTACACGGTTGAAGCTAGCTAAATGTTCCAAAAATCTAGCTTCAAGCTTGATCACACTCAAACCATGTAAGTAATATTTGTTTTCTAACATTCTTCACATGTTATAAACATTCTTCAGAGCAGTGAAAACTCTTTGAGTGAGCATGTAGACTCTCTAAAAAAATGTCAGATCAATCCATTTAAAAAATTAATTTTTTTTAAATTTACATTTTTAACGCGTTTCGACGTATCAATTCGGCCAAAATTGATACGGTGAAACGCGTTAAAAATAAACGGACATTGACGCGTTTTTGTAGCAGAAAAAGTTTGCCTGAGATGCGTATATGTATAAAAGATACGAAAAATGACATAAGTTGAATGATATAACTTTGGAGAGTAAATAACAGCATTGAAAGAAAGAGTTAAAAGACATCAATGTTATCATGAGGTGTCTTCGGTTGCCACAAGTCTTTTTGGTACTTCTTTGTGATATCCTACCTTTATGTAAAATATCTATCTATCCCACTATCAAGAAATTTGCTCTGTATGTATTTATTTTGAGCTCAGTCTCTAGCTGAATCCGAAATGATTGCATCGTGTTCCCGAAGAGAAAGCCGGGTAAAACATGGTGAAATTAGCTTCAAAGTACACTTTAGAGAGGGAATCTTCTTGCTCATAAAACTTGTACTTTTTGGTGTTATCATGAATTAAGTTAAAACCTGCTTGGGAAATTTTAGAAGTTTTCTCAGAAACTGTTTGAAGATAGAAGTATGAGTTTAAATTTCTATTGGCGTTTAAAGTATTCAAGAAACGTATTTGAATATATCCTGAACATTCTGATTATTTCTTGGTCTAGAAAAAAGTCTCTTAAATACTTTTCCTTTCAAGTATGCCGATCTAAATTACTTCTTTGTTTAATTTCCGTTCAACAGCGAAAAAGCTTCAAAGAGAACTGAACGAAAAGTCCAAAAATAGTTATGCATATGTAATTTTACATGCTCTATATAATGAGGCTAAAACTGTAACTTAGAATTTGGTAGTTAAATCGGAAAACGAGTTTTTGTCTTAATTAAATTTTTCTAAAAACTCGTCTATTCCGGATGGTGCGTGTTTTCGAAATACCAAACATTCAAGTTTGGATAGAGCTTAAAATTTGACGTATACTGGTAGATTATCAGTATGTGATTGAGAGACACCTTTTCTCACTGAAATCACAAAATATAAAAACGGAATGGCTATTGACGCCCCGTCGAACTGGCAGCAAGGAGCTATTGACAGTCCAAAATGCACTTACACACTGCATAAATGTGTTATTCAAAGTGTTATGTTGAATTAGCTCTGAAATTGACGGCCTATGAGAGATGATTTCGGGTGGGTTAGGTGGCTGTGCATGAGAGTGAGCCACTGGAATACTTCCATGTTACCTGAAGATGATGGTCTTTATTAAGTAACACATTTTTGCAGTGTATAAGTGTATTCTAGACTGTCAATAGCTCCTTGTTACCAGTCTTGAAACTGTCAATAGCTCCCTGCTACCGCCCCGGGGGTGTCAATAGACCTACCCATATAAAAATCGACTAAATGTTTTTATATCGATTACACGCTAGAAAAATAAGAACGTGTTTTATCATATGGGAAGAGAAAAAAGAGAGGAAAAAAATATATTTTCTCTTTTTCACAGTGAACACGAACTTATATATGCAGAACGGAAAAAGTGAAAAACTTAATTTTTAAACGTTCAGAAGCATTTTTATGCAAAACCAATGTGATATTCGGGATCTACGTAAAAAACTGCATCAAATGATATTTAATTTGATATGTTTCGCGAAAAAAAGTTTTCATCCAAAATTTTAGGCAAAATATCCATTTTTCTTTAATAAAGAGGCCTTTCTTTCAGGAAGTTAATGCCCTCAGTCGGGATATCTCAGTTTACCATCTTTCCCGTTGCATTTGCGACACAAAACCCAGGTCGCAGGAAATGAGACATGCCCAGGTGATTTTTCTGCAACATAAATCTGGAAAAATCTTTGCAGTAACTTTGCAGATTCTGCAAAGGGATTCTGCAGATTTGAAGCAGATCTGCATTGCAGATGTGCCAAGATTTGACCAAA